GTATTAATTAATTCGTTATATGCATTAAAAAAATCAGTGTCATGCTCAAAACTACGGTACATACACGATTAAAAATTATAAACGATGGTAATATAAATTTTATTTTTAGAAACTATTACGCTGTGAACGAAATATATGACCTTGTTACATATGTGACTAAATGAGCTTGATATATATATATATATATATATTAGCCCAGGCCTAATTTTTTATCAAGACTATCTTCAGCGTCAAAGGAATTTAATATGCGCTCAGTAGATTTGAGTAATACTTAAGGCTTAAGTATTGAGTAATACTGAAGACATATCAAGCGAAGACACCCAGTGGGTGAGCGAGAATTAGTGTGAACTGCTGAAGAACACTTTAAGGAGACAAGTCGATAGAGGGGAAAAAGTCCCAGGACTTGACCCAGCTGTTGGACTGTATGACCGACTTATAAATAAATAAATAAATAAATAAATGTTTATTTAGGTAAGGTACATACATTCAAGAGATTTTACAAAGATTGATCGATTTATAGATAGAGCTAGTACATACAATGCCTAAAGCCACTATTACGCAAAGCGTTTCGGGCAGGAAAAGCAACTTGATAGAGCAACGGTCCGAGAGGCAATTTGGAGGGGTACTTCTTTCTTGAGTTCTTCGTCCTTCATTGATTGTTCTAGCTTCGTCGAAAAGCGGCTTTCTTTGCGTCTTCTCTGCGTGGTTGTGTACAATTTTTCGTGATTACACTGTCGGTGTCGCTGTCATTGTTGTTAGGGGTGATGGCCGTCCTTGATGTTCCATTGTACAAACAACAGAGTGGTAGATCTAGGTGTTCAATCGTGAGTTGGTTCGGATTAAGATTTTGTAGGTCACTAGGCTACAGGTACTGTGAGGGGTCCTAGGCTACAGGTACTGTAGGCCCCTAGGCTTCAGGTACTGTAGGCCCCTAGGCTACAGGTACTATAGGCCTCTAGGCTACAGGTACTGTAGGCCTCTAGGCTTCAGGTACTGTAGGCTCCTAGGCTGCAGGTACTGAGAGTCCTAGGCTACAGGTACTGTAGGCCCCTCGACTATTGGTATTATGAGGGCCCTCTGGGCTACAGGTACTGTAGGCCCCCTAGTAATACTTTAAAGAGAAAACAAAGTTAAAGAAAATATTAATTTATTTTTACATGGATAGCAGTAATGAACATTCAAATATTTGCTTTGCGTAATTTCATGGAAAATAATTTCTCCATAACATCAGTAAATTGAAATTATTGAAATTATTGAAAGCATTGTTTTCAACTGTCATGAGAACAAGTTTCTTTAGTCTCTCTTGTGCCATTGTCGATCTGTGTATATTCTTAAAATATGTTTCATCTTGGCGGAACTCCTCTCTCCAGTCGCATTAGTAATCATTAAGCACAAGTAAATCATTAGTGCTATTTCATCATTATGGAATGAAGAAGTTAATGCTGAAATGTCAATTCTTATTGTTGGTAATTCGACCAGGAAACCAAATAATAAATGAACATTTGTATTCTTCAATGCGACGAGGAAGAGTTGAGTATAATAATAATCTTTACTCCTTAAATGTAAACCTATGATATGCAAATTACAGCTATTCTACAGTCGGAGACTGTAGTCCCCTTAAGCCCCTGCCTTAATCTGGAACTTGGTCACTATTGACGTCCATAGTTTTTTTTGTATCATTATTATTTTCTACCACAGACGTGGCCACGCATTTACAATGCTAACTAGCATATATACATTTTCTTCTGTTCTCCATGGACAGGGTGAGAGATGTGTCAACTAGTGTGCAATTAAGAACTTAACCACTGAAGGTGATTAAGATGTCTTTACAAGCTCAGGTTATAGAGTTACATTACATGGTTAATCTAGGGTAATTGGTTTATACATTTCTAAGTGTTGGAGGAACTAGGCTGTTCCTTTCCAGTTACTGTACTGAGTTTGAGGTCATGTTTTGTAGTATGAAAGTTGTATTTGAGGTAGTCGTCGCTTTGTTTCTCAGAGAATAGATATATTACAGATATATAATAGATATAATATTCACTGCATACCTTAAACCGATGAAAATATTTAAGCATGAATTCATATGTTGAATAGAATTTTCATGCAATTTTCTATTCATGAAAGGAATATAATTGTTTGTAATTTTCCGTGTAATTTTCAGACGTCCATATACAAATTTTAAAATTTTGTATGTTCTTCGATTTGGCTGACTACAACGTGGCGTCTTTTTTATTATTGGCACAGTTAGGCCTATCTAGTTACGCAACTACCCTAGGTTATATGAAGGATTACACACCGTTCGTCATGAGCATGCTACGAGATGCAGAGATTTTTACTTCAATAAATTTATTTCAATTTCAATTCAATTTCAATCTCGCATGGCGGTTGGTCACACAGGCCCATGTGATCAGCACCATCTTGTCTTGGGTGGAAACGCTGGCTTCTTTAGTCGAATTGATGGTTTCGACATGCGTAGAAGCATAGTTTGTGGAGGTTGGGCTCTTAATTGAATTTAATGGATTGAACTGTTTGGCAACGGATCTTGTGCTGGTGCTACAGGAGCGGGAATTGTTGAAAGTGTATCTGTTGGAACTATTCAACAGACTATTCAACCAACAAACTCACACTAAATATAGAAAAGACCTACTACATCTTATTTGGAAGCAAATCAACAAATGCAATTCAGCTTCAGATAAACAATGTTAACATTAGCAATAAAAATGATGGAAAGTTCCTTGGCCTATACTTAGACAAGAGACTCAACTTTAGCACCCACATACAACACATATCTAAAAAGGTTTCCAAAACAGTTGGTATACTCTCTTAAGATCAGATATTATGTACCCTACTCTGCTCTCCTCTCATTCTATTATGCACTTATCTATCCCTATCTTACTTATGGTATCTGTGCAAACAGAGGTTCAACCTCTGCAAACTACCTCAAGCCCATCATCACCCAGCAAAAATCTGATATCAGGACAATAACAAACTCTGCTTTCAGACAGCACACAGCTTCCATGTTTAGATCCCTAAACATGCTAATCATAAATTCAGTCCATACATTCTCTTGTGTCAATTACATTTATAAAACCCTTTTCTTAAATGCAAACCCTGTTCTGAAACTCTTCCTGGACAGATGTAATAGAACATATACCACACCAGACATAAATATCTCTTTGATATCCCTAGAGTCGAACTTAATCTGTGTAAACACTCTATGCAAATAAAGGAACCTAATCTATGGAACTCACTCCCTAATGAATTGAAAAGCTGTCCAACTTTTGCCTTATTCAAAAATAAAACCAAAAAGTACCTAATTTCATCTTCATAGTTTCCTACCTAGTGCCTTAAACTCGCACTGTATCTAGTGCTACCCAATCCCTCAATATATGTACCTAAGCCATATTACTTTACCATTGTAATCTTAAATATCATCTGATATCATGGTTGTTATATTGAGTGCATATCTACTGCATTGTTCCTTGAAATGGTCCTCAAATTGTGCTTCAGTGAACCAATGTATAACCCTGAAATTTTATCCTAATGTACCTAGTAAACTCTGTTCATTATGGTGAATTGCTATTATTGTGTATTAATCTAATCTTTGTTTTTGTGTCAAAATTTCTTACAATGTACCTGTATTTTTTTTTAATTTTTACTGTAATTTCTCTACTTAAAATTGTCTGTACCTGTACCTATAAAGTAAAGTTGTAAAGTACCTGTAAACATTTTTTTGTCAATCTTACTGTGAATTATCTACTTAAAATTATCTGTTATTTTAAGGACTTGCCCGAAACGCTATGCGTGCTAGTGGCATTACAAGAATGTAAAATCAACTTCATTTCTATGTTCTCTCTTACCCCCAATGTACCTTCTTGTATAAATAAATAAATAAATAAATAAATAAATAAATAAATATTGCTGTAGGCCGGTTATTTTCAATTGACAGAGTGCTATTAGTCTTGGCGTTTCCGCCAAGACTAATAGCATGATCCGATTACGTGCTATTCTCCGACAATTCTCTCAGCGATATCCACGAACCGTCTACCAAGGAGCGTTCTTCAACAGTCGGGTGGCACCTGTATTGGGGCCTCCTTGGCAACACTATATCTGCGATTGTCCTGTCATCAATTATTTCAGACCAAATGGTGTCAGATACTTTGAACTCTGTAACTACCTCGTACACTCATATATATTGGAAGATGTTATGTGATGTACCCAGAGTTTGAGAGTGCAGGCTAATAGATCAACTCTCATTTCATGTTCTCTCCTGATTTCATGTATAACTAACCGTCCTGTGAAATAGAGATATTAGAGGAACTTATAGCAAGTTCTTGATCCACACTGTTTAATCTTTCATACAGAATAGGGTATTAGCATATTGCTGAGTGTACCTAAGCTTGTTAAATAAAAAGAGGCCATTTGTTCATGTCTCTATCCTAATATTTTTATTTAGCACATTTATTTTTCCCAGTGTTTCGCATTTAATCCGAAACTACGGCGATGCACAAAAGATTCTTTTAAGAAAATAATAATCTAGATATCCGACATTTTACGAGACTTTATATAATAATTTGACTTTATTAATTTAAATATTATTAAATATAAGATAAGCTTATTGATAACATTGCTTATTATACTAAACATTTAAGAGACTATATTAAGTATTTACGGTGAGATAAATTAGAGTGTAGCCCAGTATTATTGTAATTTGCTTATCTATTTAATTAATTATATATTGTTATCTGATATTAAACTAATTATTTGTATGTTTTATACAATAAATTAATGAATCGTAAAAACAGTACATAAATATGGAATCGTAAACTTGTTCCAATATTATTTTTGGGTCATAATTACCAGTAGAGTTTATAATATATAAAAGTTGAATGCCATGATATGCATAATATATTAAGATTAATGATATGTAATTTATTATTCTTCATGTTCTGGCTCCAAAGTAACAGAGGGCTGCTCCAAAATAGGTTTTATAGAGGAGCAAATGTACCCAAATGACGCGAGAGCAAGCATTACTGGTCATCTGTCAAATGGTCGGGTGGACCGGGTAGGAAGATGCCAGTGTGGTGGATGTCCGGCGGCCTGAGTGAGGACTGGCCAGTATGGGGGGGTGTGTAGGCACGGCCAGGGAAGGCTCGGCCTCCAGCCGCACGTCTTCTGGCCAGGGATCCACTCCTGTCAGAGGTGGGTGCTTGACCAGCATGCCACACCTGTCTTGCTTCTCCTCGACCTGGCTGGCTGCCTGTCTCGTCGCCTCCTTGGGTGTTATAATAGTCTTGTTGTGTGTTGTGGCGAGGTTGTTATGTTGTGTGTGTGTGTGTAGAAAGCTTCACAGGGAGTGTAGGTGGTGAGGGCCTATAGCTGGAGGGAGAGAGAGAGAGTGAGTCTTGTTTGGCCCACGAGTGAAATTTAAGTGTTTCACTACATCTAAATTCCAGGTATAATATCCCCTAGACCTCCCCTCTCTTGATTTACATGTTGTAGAGCACCTTGTGGCGTGATCACGCTTGATCACTCTCTCGTCCCGCGAGGGAGAGCCACCCTGGGCACGGTCTGGCACTATACCTTCACCATTAGGCATTCAGCAGTAATTAAGAGGCCTGGTTGTAAAATTATGAGCAGATCATGTTCTGGGGGGAAAAGCATAGTGATGCGTAATCTTACTGGTTACAGTACCAAGCCTAAGGACTGAATACAGCAAATATATTTATATATTTTTACTTTTATTCGCCGATGAAGCGGTTATCATAGTCCAAGGATCCTGAGTTCTGTTGAAATGGCAAGTGTTTTCAATTCAGCTCGAGCTACTTTCTGATGATTAAACATGTCCCCATCACTTCTTTTAAAAACCCAACTGATTCACAAATATCCAACTGTATATATAGAGGGAGACAAGCTTACTGCCTTGTTCTATCCGAGCCAGTGGATCTAGACCCGTGACCGGGTTGACTCGTAAATAATTCCAGTTCTTACTCTGGCAGATGACAACCTCACCTCTGCTGAGATGTGTTTAGAAATTACAAATGTTGCAGATAGTGCAGCACTTGCTGAATTGTATAAGTAATGAATGCTCTGACATTATGAATGTTTGATACAAGTCCGTGGAGAACTGCACTGTTTTGATAAGACTAAACACACTACTGCTTGTACAATTTGAGTTACTCTGTATCTATATAGCGGTTCCCTATTTAGAGCACGTGTCCAATGTATCCATGATCCTAAGGTTTATAATAGTGCGTTATTCTACCAATTTTTAATTTATTGCTCACAAGAAAAGGACGTCGGCTACTCGTTGATTTAGCCCTTATTGATCTGGTTAATTGACCAAAATCACGTTTGAGGTTATTGTACTCATGATTTGGACTAAATCTGAATTTTGCAGCTTATGGTAGTTGGTTAGTGTCCAGTGGACTGTTTAAAACTAAGCAAATATAGTTCATTACAAGAATGAATTAATAACAAAAGCTGCTTAAAACTTTTATCAGGTAACTTGTTAGATGGGGGGACACTTTTGGGGAATCGGCCACAGGCCTGTAACCTTTTCTCTTAACTGCATTAAATGAGTTGGAGAAGTCATGCCCTCGTAATTTTAACACTACAGTGTTTCGAAGTATATTTTCTTGCATTTTACAGTACATTTACTGTACTTGAATTTATCTGAGGAGCACTACCTCCTCAGTGGCCTTGGTGGGGATTTGGAAGCTGGCAGCTTGTCAAAGGTCCCTCTTTTCTTAGTGTGGATATTTGTATCTGGATTTTTAACAGCAGTAATGTCTTAACATTTGACTTTTGAGGGTAGGCAATTTCATGGGTTTATAAGCTTAGGGTTACTGTACTATTAACACACTAATTAAGTTTGGCATATTCCTTGCCTTTTTTAAATAAACATTTAAAGTATATTTAAAGGAACAGTATAATACAGCTTTTATATATACAGTATAATATTTATATATACAGTATAATATATATAAATAGCAGAGTGGATGGAGCTTCTGCCTCACACACGTGAGGCAATATCCTAGAGTATCCTAGTATCCTTGGTTAGAGTATCCTAGAGCCCAGGTGAATGAAAAGCTATACTGTATTATTATGCTTCAAAATACCTGGAGCCTTTGAACACAAGTTTGCAATTTTTCCTTATTCTTAGAGCATAAGCTGTACAATTTGTTAAACTGCATTGTGTGGTTCTTTGCTATATTCCAATAAGGTATTTTTTTGCATATGTTGAAGGACATTGAATTATTGATATTAGTTCATCATTTTGTGATTACTATAGGCTGACTTGAATGCTTTTAATTTTCAATAGAATGCCACTTCTCATTTTTCTTAAAATTATTGTAAGTGCTAAGTACAGTACTCTTAGACCTGGGCTCAGGCCCGCAATCTTATCGCCATAATACGATACTGATGATGAACATTGTTGATTCAGTATTTTGAGGGTTCTTGATAATTCTTTTTCTATATATTCCTTTGGGTGTAATAGTGTTTCTTTTACATTGCCACTCTACTAGTGTTCAACCAGTGACGACTGTAACCAAAAATGCCACCCTAAACAATAGCCGATGTTATGACAGGTTTGACTTGGCTAACGGATGTTGAAGTTCTTAGTTTTATTCCCATTAAAATGTTGCAGTTGTTTTTATAATGTTTAATGTGATATTTGCTGTGAAAATGACTTGTCATTTTGGATCTGATGATAATTTTTTAATTTTTGTTTCTGCTATACATCTAGCATACTAACAGTATGAGAGTTGGAGATACTGTTCTGGCCTGACTAGTAGTGCATGCTGTTGGCATTTGGATAGAATACAGGGGCATATACAGTATAGATTTCTAGGTTTTGAAGTGCTAATAAAGGCTATGTGTGCGGCATTTGTGCATGGTATATTTGCAAATTTTGTGGGGCAGCTGCACAGCTATGGTAATACTGTATCTCCAGATTTACCTTATGACATTGCATTTAAAGTTAACACTCCTCCCTTATTTAAATAGGCTTAACTTTAACTAGTCTTCCCTCTTCCTCAACAGCTCGCTACAAATTTTGTGATCAAGTTGAGCTTGATTTTAGTTAGTTTCTTTATAATGTATGGTCATGATGTTGATATGATTTGAAGACTGTTACTACAGTCTTCAAATCTACAGCTTGACTGTACAAGTATATATTAATAAGTCAATCAAGAGTGCAGATATTAAAAGTTATTGATACTGTAAAGGTACTTTTTAAAACATATAGCACTGTACATAGCTGCTGTATATATTCTCTAATGTGGTTGAAAGTTATTCTTTAGCTCTTTGGTTGCTGTTAGCAATAGCTGTTAAGTCAAGGAAACGGGGGCCCATGTTGTGTGTCCGGCCTCTGCCCCATGTTCCTTGAAAATAATTTTGAAAGTTGTGTAGAGCTTGTGCAGAGCCTGTGACCTACAATTGATGCCTGAACATAGTAAAGGCTTCCATTTGTTGAAGATAGTAGCATCCAGTACCAACAAAAATCAACATTTATGCTTTCTTCAAACCACATCTCATACCTCACACCTATTTGTGTATTTTTTTTTTCCTAAGATAAATTGATGTACAGATGTATGTATAGCTGAATGTGTGTATGTATGTATACATGCATGTATGTAGTGCATACATTCGTTGTGAACCCCATCGTTTCATCTACCCAGGTTTCGTCTGCTAATTTTTATTAATTTTATACCGAAACGTATTAGGTTTTTATTTGTGAACATTATTGAACACTTGTCTATTTTAATACCTGAATGAATTGGAAAAGGAAATTTAAAATAAAAATGAATAATTTGTGGCAATTTTTGTTTTTAGTGCCTCGTTCTGGTCTAATGAATGTAGTTTCCCTCCACTCAGTCTCCCATTATTTCTTGTTTTGGCCAATGTTGTTGATCTTAGGACCACCAGAACAGAATTCCTCCTTTCCATCCAGACTTACGGTGGTCTGAAGTGTTGAAGCAGGAGTCCGTTGTACAGTACTCTAATTAGTTTTCTTTCGGGAAAAATTTGACTTTAGAGGTGCCACTAGAATACTGAAAAAGGACAGTATTTGTGCCTTTTCTGCTAAAATGTTATTTGGTTTGAAAGTATATGGATGAGACAATTTCTTGACATGTTTTGAAGGTTTCCTTCATATAAACCAGAGTATGTAAGGAGAGCCATTTTTTTTTAAAAAGGTAAAGAAGGCTAAAAGAAAAAAATGGATTAATAGAATAAATTATGTAAAGTTTGCCTGTTTTATGTTTGGTTGGGAAATAAATATTCAAAAGGTGAGATAAATTAGTACTTTTATCCAATTTTAAGTCTAACAGCACAGCTCACTGAGTAAACCCAAGTGGACAAAATATAACAGCATCATACTTGGCTACCCAATGCTACAGCCATTAGTTATAAACTAAATTGTAGGTAATGTACTTTTTTTTGATACTGTAGGTATACAGTGCTGTGGTTTTGAAAAGGACAATGTTTTTTTATCGATATAATATGCTTCCGGAGAACACTTGCATACCGACTTGAATCTTATAAAACTTAATGCAAAATTCTGTAAGGAAAGTCCTTATTTAGCCATATAGAATTTTTGTGGCAGTTTAGAACTATTATAACTATTGTTTATTAAGGCATATGGGGCACATTGACCTATATGATTTTATAATCTAAAGAGCATAGCTGCCCCTAAGTTTCTATGCATACTTTGCTTCCAGAAGATTACATCAGTGGGCTCGTTTGATATTTGCAAAACTTTTTTGGGTAACAGTAGATAAATTTTTTGTTTTTCAAAAGTTATAAGAGTGATTAAATGTTGCTTATTTTGAAATACATGTCTTGGAACCATGCCAAATACTGTAGTATGTAAATTTCCATTATCATAAATCATTTTAATGTTGTAATTTTCTCATTATTGCATTTATTTTACATAACCTCAGGTCAGTATGCACCTTATAAATTTCCTTCCAAATTATAGATTTACTTAAGCTAGTTTTGTATAATTGTGTATGTATGTATACATGTACATACAGTAATACTGTACTTTGGTACTTGAACTTTATTCCAGAAGGCTATTTGAGTACCACTCTGTTCTAGTACCAAATAATTTTTTCCTTTAAGGAATAATGTAAATTGGATTAATCAATTCTGACCCCCAAAAATACTTATAAAAGCATTTTTACTTGAATTTAACT